CAACTACATTTTTTTTTTGTTTTATAAATATACGTGGACAAAGAATTGTTCAATCATAAATAAATGTATGCATAATAATTACATTGTTTAAATCGATGTTTATGTTTAAACTAAAAGGATATAATCACGTTTTTTATACAACTAGTCTTGAAATAAAAAACATTTTAGGTCTAAACTGGAAAAAAGTACAAAATGTAGGGTCTTTGATGAAATAAAAATACTTAATGACCTGTTAGGGTCTAAAATAACAAGTAACAAGTAAAAGTTAGGTCTTTTTCGAAAAAGAAAAAAGTTTTAGGTCTAAAAAGAAAAAAAAGTTAAAATATAGGGTCTTTTATGGAAATAACCCTAGAACCTGTTGTGCAAAGTGGAACCCAAAGCAAATCTCACTAAGCAAGACGGTAAACACTCCTAAGAACTGCAGCTGCAAGGTAGAGAGATGAACGATGGAGAAACCCTTGTGGAAGCTGCGCTACGTGTGCTGAATACAGCAGACCCAGTTGAGAAAGCGAAACTTGGAGATGAAATAGCAAACAATTGGCTCCAAGGTGTTATTGCAAATCCTTACCACCCTTCTCAACCTGATATCATCGTCCCAGACCGCCCTGCCAGACTCTCCAATGTTAGCCTCTCACACAGTCAGAATCATTCATCAATTCTGTTTTGCAGATTTTGAGTTATCATGGAAGCACGCCAAGTGTTTGATAATATGCCTCACTGATTTAGAGCAGACGTAATTCCTGTGGATGGTTTATTATGCAGGTGAAGCTAGTGTCGCCTAGTCTTATGCCGAAGCTTGGGAAAGCCGGAAGCTCACAGAGCAGACAGGCCATCGTGCACAGCCTTGTTCACACTGAAAGTTGGGCCATTGATTTGTCCTGGGTATTCCTTTTTTTGCTTCTATTGCTTATAGACAGTTCTTTATACTAAAATTCCTGGATTGCTATGTGCTTTTGTAATTGATGGTTGTTGCCGATTCAAACAGGATACAATTGCACATTGGTCTTTCTTTATTTTGTTAATCCTAAGAGCTAAGATCCGTCTAACTTTGAAACAGGATATAATTGCACGTTTTGGTAAACAAGAGTCAATGCCAAGAGAGTTCTTCAATGATTTTGTAAGAGTTGCACAAGATGAAGGTCGTCATTTCAGTCTTCTTGCTGCTCGGCTTCAGGAATTGGGGTCTTTCTATGGAGCACTTCCTGCTCATGATGGTTTGTGGGACTCAGCTGTTGCTACATCAAAAGACCTATTTGCACGTCTTGCAGTTGAGCATTGTGTTCATGAGGTGCCCCTGATCTTACATTATGATTATCTTTCCTCCGTTATTCTCTTCTTCTTTACACAGTTTTTCATGATGAATGACAGGCAAGAGGACTGGATGTGCTGCCTACAACCATCTCCCGATTCCGTAATGGAGGTGACAATCAGACTGCTGATTTGCTTGAGAAGGTGATTTACCCTGAAGAAATCACTCATTGTGCTGCTGGAGTCAAGTGGTTCAAGTATCTGTGCTCACGATCATCTTCATGTTCATGTGCTGATGAAGAAAGTGATGAAGTGATTCAGAAATTCCATGAAATTGTGAGGGAATATTTCAGAGGGCCATTGAAGCCTCCTTTCAATGAGGCAGCAAGAAAAACTGCTGGATTTGGTCCTCAATGGTATGAACCTCTTGCTGTCAAAGATTTTACTCAGTAAAAAAGCTAACACATTTATAATTTATATGAACCAAAATGTTCTCTTAATGAGTTGTTGCCATTTGCATTCCTTTGTGTTGTGGTAGTTTGCTTTGCATTTTTGGTTTAAATAGTCAAGACTTCTTTAGAATAACCTAACAGGATTGAATTTAAACATTCTCGTGGATGTTATCCTTAGTATTAATAATTGTGCATTAGTAGACACTGTAGACAAGCAACAACATATGTTGCTACTCATCATTGGGTTTCTAAGTTGTTGCAATATTGCTTAACAAGACTTGGTTGTATAGGTGTCTGAGGTGACCCAAATATCAAATAAAAATAGTCGTTTTGATTAAAATTTAGCATATTAAATTATTAAACTTGATCACAAACACTCTTCTTTCAATTTATGGTAGTCAACACTCAATACTCAATACATACACCCTTTTAAGGGCGTGTTTGGCACGGAGCTTTTGGAAGCGTTTGGGAGCTTCTAGCTTTTAACTTTTGACAAAACGCTCTAGTTTAAACAAAAAGTTTTGTTTGGCAGTACGAGCGTTTAGCTTTTAGTTTAAACAAAACGCTCCAAATCTAAAAGCTACTTTATGTAGCGTTTGACAAAACGCTACTGAGCTTTTGAAATCAATTTCCATAATTACCCTTAAAAATGTATTTATATATTTATTTATTTTTAATCAATTGTCTTTTTATGTAATTTTATATATTTCAAAAGCTTCCAGCTACTTTTGCCAAACACTCATATAACAAATAAAAGCTACAGCTTCCCGCTACATGCTACCCGCTAACCGCTTCCAGCTAACAGCTACTTTTGCCAAACGCGCCCTAAATCACATTATCTAGAGTTTCAATTATTTGTTGGACATCATTATAGCTATAGTATAGTTATATCATTCATTATATTATTAGTAGGGATTAGCAAAATAACTGTTGGAACTGAACTGAACAGAGTGGGAACCGATTATGCAATTTGGTTTGGTTCTCGGTCCACCAAACTCCTAAAAATCGGTTTCGGTTCCTGCGGTTTTCAGCTTTTCCAGTCTTGGAACCGGATGTTGAAAGGCCAAGTCCAACATTTTTTAGAATTTTTTACCTCAACTTTGAACAACCATAACTTGTTCATACGAGCTCCGAACGAGCTAAACTTTTTTTTTCAGCATCTAGTTCTATGTCTTGGCTACATTCTAGGCTTTTGAATCACCTTAATTGGTTAAGAATTTACCGAGTTACAGTGCTGCACAACCGTAAACAAGAGCTGTTTGGGCTTGTTTCTAGCATTTTGCATAATTTTTTGCTCTACTTTGAACAACCATAATGAATGAGTTGATCATTTTCCGCATGTAATTTTCTCTCTTGGCTATATTTAGGCTTTTGAATCACATTAATCCGTTAAGCACATGCTAAAATCAAAAAGTAGCTTGCTATATTTAACTAAATTATTTGTGTCTTGTATGTGTCTTAGTGTCTATATTCTAGACGTCTCGTATGTTAGCACCAAAATTATTTGTCTTATATGAGTATATCCGTGCCTGCCTGTTGAAGACATGAAACACGAATTTGAAATTCATGTCAATACGAATAAATACAAAATACGAATTTGCAAAGCCCATACACGAAAAAATGTGTGGCGTGTTCATCCGGCGTTAGTGGCGTACCAAGTTGTGGGGTCCACCCATAAACAATGTTTTGGATTGGTTAGGGTGTAATTGGTGTTTTGGGCTGAAGTTTTTGGCATGTATTGGTTAAATGAAAGGTTCGTAATAGCATGAAGCAAAAAAGATTAAGTTGGGAAAAGTTGTAGACTAGTCTTGTGAATGCAAGGCAAAGGCGTGTTAAAAATTGAGGTAAATGAAAAGTAAACTCCAAACCTTGTGAATGTCAAGACAGGCATTATCAGTAGACCAGGCTTTTAATTTTAAAACACCACGTACAACACTCACAAATAATATATGTGCTGATTAAAATTACAATAAAGTTAATATTCATCATGTTGTAAATTGTATAGAATTAATAATTTGTATGTATCATTACCATTATTAAAATATAATCTGGATACATATAAATTGTACACCATTTTACATCTTTATTAATTAGAAACAATTAGCCAGATGCCCCGCATATTGTGGCATGTTTATCAATCATTTACAACATTTTTGGAATGGTCTATTTGGTCTATTAGACAAGGTCTATTTCTGTAAGACGCTCACAGGGATCATGTGGGTAAATTCGCTATTAAGCATAGACAATTTCTTTAGTTTTGTGAAACACAAGGACCGTTTTTGTTATTTCACTATTAGGCAGGGGCCATTTCTATAATTTTCTGTGTAAATTCACTGTTAAAGAGGGACTATTTCTGTAACTTTGTGAAACATATGGACTATTTCTGTAAGTTCCTTATTAGACAGAGGCCATTTTTGTTTAATTTATAAAACACATGGACAAATTGTGCAATGCTTCAACTAAGCGGGGAGCATTTCTATAATTTTGTGAAACACATAGACCATTCTGTAATCTTGTGAAACATAGAGACACATTCTATAACCTCACTATTAAGCAGGGACCATTTATGTACCTCTAAGAAAACATATAGACCGTTTCTGTAAATTTCCTATTAGACAGGGACCAATCATGTAATTGCATGAAACACAAAATATAAGGACCATTTCTGAAAATAGTGCACCACTTCCCCTTCTTCTTTTTTTTTTTTTTTTTTTTTTTTTTTTGATAAATGGCCGAGTTACGAAGCCTTAAAGAGGGCTATTTCTTTAAAATTTGTTTCCTTCTCCGTTACAAAACCATTCCAAGCAACAACTCAGTCTCCCAAAATGATAAAATTTGGTTTTGGGTTTTTCGATTTGGTCTGGTTTAGAACCGATTTCATTCGTAATTAGTAATTATTAGCATCATCTGTTTTTGTGACAGCTAAGTTTCTTAATTTTTCTTTATTTTAATTTGAACACGAGCTCTTGACAACAAACGCGACAGTAGCCAGTCAGGCATCTTGGCTCTTGGTATCTACAAAGATCAGCAAGTATATATGGACAAACTACACGAGACTGTCTTACGAGGATTTCAGTCGAGACAACGTAAAGTTTGTTTAGTTAGCCACCTTAATTTGACTAAATTTTGATCAAACAAATTAGAGTTTAATTATGATTGCTAAATCCTTTTATTAATAGGGATGTGAAAAGACAGAAAGCCAACCTAAAACCGTAATTTTTGGTTTAATTAATTTAAAGCAAATAAAAAAACAACAACCAAAGAAAACACATGTTTCCTTTGAATTTGAATTTATTACATTTACTACATCGGTAAAAAAGATTACAACAGACTTATTCCAGCGTTTATTATTCAACATTTATCACACAACAAAAAGGAAACATTTACATTCAAATTAAAAATAATAATAATAACACTTATAATAAAACTTAAAACCCAAAACTCAAATAAGCTGTTAGCATGCTTACCAAAGGAACAGATATGTTATCATCCAGACCTCCTTTTGTCGGGAGCGACTCCACCAATGTTGCCACAATCGCAACCATTGCAACTCGTTCCATTGTCTTTAGCCAGTCTAGCTCAAAGTACCCCAACTTTGAAAAATAGTATAACATCCTGTATACAAGGGTAAATTAGTCAATTACCCTGATCTAACCCATAAAACATCACAATAAAAAAGAGGTGTCACGTACCCAACCGAGACTAAAAAACCGACCAGAAACATAGAGATGCTACCCGCCCAACTCTTCTGTTTGTTGTACGGAATTTTATGCAACCCAAATCTTCTCCCCATGATATCTGCAATGCCTATAGGATATTATGTCAGAAAGAAGCCTAAGTCAATGTTTGTTGCACATAATTTTCAGGCTATAAAAGTCATGTCAAACACACAACAATCTGATTTGTTTTATCATGTCAAGAAGTGAACACACACGAGGGTGAGAGAATATACCATCGCCACCACACATCATGGATAGTGAAACCACACCGATTGGTGAGTCACGCCAGAAGAGAAGAGAAGATAGAATCAACATCAAAACATAATATAGTGGTCCCCTAAGCAATTCCCTGCCATCAAATCGTTTTAAATTTTGGGCCAAATTTATGAAAAGAAAACATTAATTGAGGACAACAGATCGTATTATGAATGAGATCTTACTCTGGTTTTCCTTCACGGGTGACTGATTTTATGAGGTCTTCATTGGGGACGAGTGAAAGACCATGAACAAGAAGCCTAGTGCAGTTCAATAAGGGCGCTATAATGGCAAAATACCGAGCATCTGTAGAAGTACTAATCTAGGATTTAATGTCAATTGGTTGAACTCCATTTTGTAGAACAAAAAAAAAAAAAAATTGTTTTTTTTTGGGAAATTTATAAAATACCTGAAGATTGGCCAGCAACCCATATAAAGCAATCCAGATAATATATGAACCAGCTTTCTGCTTAGGTTCTGAAAGGAACATACAAGAGATTGAAGTTTCTTTTTCATAAAACATTCTTTTATTTTTTATTTATCAATTAATCTCATTCATGTGTCTACTTAGGCATAACAAACAACATTTTGAATAACAAATCAAGTTAATTAAGTTAATTTAATCAAGTTAATTAAGTTAATTTAACAAATCAAGTTAATTAAGTTAATTTAATCACTATACTCCTTCAAGGCTTCAAACCAACCAATCAAACATAATAATAATAATGGAATGTAATGACCCTTTCTATTACGCTGTTCATTCCATTCCTTTGTGGATTCAATTTCATCATATCAAACAAATCAAGTTAATTAAGTTAATTTAATCATTTTTATATTACAAGGTCCGTGCCTATCTAACCCTAGCCCCATCCCCACATATTCACTCGGATGTTTATTGCTTATGAATAATCACTTTGTACGGAACCATATGACACCTACCAAAAGTTATGGTTTTAAAAGCTATACATTTAACTTGCTGTTGTTAACCACACATAAGAATAACTAAGGTTGTCAATAGACTTAAAAACTTGCTAACCACAATTGACTTTAAAAGATTTGTATTTAATACTCCTAAGGTTCCAAAACATTGATCTTTCAATGCATGCAGTTATTACAATTAATTCCACTTTTACCCTTGTATCAGCTTAAATTTTTACTTAAAATCATGATTGAAAAGTTATTGGTAACACAGTGTGAGAAACTTTTATTATCAGTGACGAATTGTTATAACATTAGTGGTATTTGAAGTGAAATGAAAAGACCCAAATAATTGTCAATGAGCAAAAAGTAAGGTGCCATTAAAACAGGTTCTGAAAAGGTGAAAGTAGTGTCCAGAGTACGATATACATAAACAGTACTACCAAAATTAATCGGTGGATATATTTCATAATTTGGATTAGAATGTCATTCATTTTACTAATTGAACCAATAATTTGAATTATGCTTAAGATTGATTATAAAACTTGAAGTTGATAATATAAAAGATTGAATTAGATTTGGTGAATAAACAAGGGAAAAAGAGTTAAAAGACAGAACCCAAACACGAAAACGATACCAGGCGATATAATCCATGTGAAGATCTACAGTTGCAGGAAACAGTGTCTGTCTGGATTCCGGTGACCTACGGAGGATACAATCGTACAAGACTAGAAGGTATTCTGTGTATGTGTGTTTATATATAGACACATTTATATCAATATCATGCATGTGGAGATTGAGAGAAACCTGTTCGATGATTTGGCGCTGTGTGAGATAATCAAAACCAGCGACAAGTCCATACGCGCCGCCAACGACAAGAATGGTTGCTCCGGCATCCTGAAGCAATGGACCTGGTACATCGAGGGTAAAAGCACGCGGTGGAAGAAGAAGAAGACGTCGTTGCTTTTGAATAAAAGTAGAAGCATTCCGAATTCCGTGCATATTGAGATAAGGTGTGGTAGGATAGAAAGCGTGTCTTGGAGGGCAGAAGTGAGGACGTAGCAGGGAGAGTTTGGGATTAGCAGCGGTGGTGGTGGCGGCGGCGACGGCGACGGCGGCCATCTGGATAGCGTCTGTTTTCTGACTCCACAAGTCAATTTAGGAGGAGGATTGAGGGGTATTGGGGGGTGTGGGACCAACTACAGAGCGGTTCTGGGTCATACGTTTCTGCGTCTTTATGGCATCCGATTCAGTAAGTTCGTCAGTACCATGTAACAATCAGTTTTTCCTCACACGGCCTTTCTTCCTTGAGGATTTTTCCTCCAAAATATTTCAAATTCATAAGAAAAATATATGTATAAAATTAAGAAATTTTAAACTTTTTCATTTAAATATTATCCCGACCTATAAATCTACATACTAAATAGTGATAAATCACAAAAATATCAGATGATTTTTCAAAATTATAAAAAATACCAAGTTTTTTTTTTCTTCACAAATTTATTAATGGAATCCAAGATTGGTTATTTTCTCTTTTGATCCGACCCCTTAGTTTTTGTGGTCTTTTATATTTATGACCTTAGTTTTTGTGGTCTCCTATATTTATGAAAAATTTGAAATGTGGTATTCAGTGGATACAATATCTGAAATATGTTATCCACTATACGATGAAATGACGTTTGGATGCTCTTAAATCGGACCGCGGATTTAAAGGATATTCTTGTGTAATAGGGGTGAACGTTTAGACCTTCGGATCAGATCATAATGGGTTGGGAACCGTATGTGGACTAACATCAATTTACAAGAATATATATGGTTATCGATTCTCCTTTGATAGTGCAAATTCGGTATGGTTTTTTACCAGTTAAGTCCGGCTAGTTTCGGGTATTGGAACCAAATTTTAAAAGTATAAATACATTATAATCTGTAAAATTTTAAAAATATGCATATTTTATTCATTTGAAGTCAAATCGACATGAAATCTTTTTCGGCATGTAATTTAGAGTTTGTATTTGAGTATATGTTGTAATTTCATTATTTTTTGTTAAATATTCAGTGAGTTACAGTTCTCCGAAGTTTTGATATTAAAGTTAAAGTTAAAGTTAATATACACATATCTCATTCAGATTGACTTGATATTTTTTTATTGGTTTGATTATTTGATTATTTAATTATTTATATTTCTAAATTTGATTTTTAATTTACTAAAAGGTCGAAAGTTTTATCCCCATGATGAAGATGTTACAATTTTCTTCGCACCACAAAATTCAACAAGCAGAAACGGAGGATGACACTTGATTTTTAGGGCTTTTGATTTTCTTCAGAGGTTTAGCGTGTATATATAATTTTTAGAATGACTAACATACACACACTAAGTGTGTGTGTGTGTGTGTGCACGCCATAGAAGCTTCATTGACCGGATTATTTGTGTAAAGGACTCGGTTGTAAGGGCATGGTGAAATTTAAGGTCTATAATGACTTCTTAACTTTCAGATCCAGGTTTTAAGGAGAAAAGAAAAAGAAGAAATGGAGTTCAACTATGGTTAGTGGTATGGTGGGACCATCTTTATATAGTATTAATAATTTAAAAACAAATTAAATGTTAAAAAAAATCCTACAATGATAAAATAGTAATTTTAGATCAAATATTTAACAAAGTAAAGCCATAAGGACCAACCATGCAACATATTAAAACCATATGGACAATCTTTATCAATGACAAAAGTTAGGGGCCAAATCTATAACTTTTTGTAAACCATAGGAACCATTATGTAATTTTGTTTACATTACATATTTTTTGTTTTTTAATACTTCGATGATTAATAATTAATTATATTTTTGTTACATTATGAAACATATTTATAAATGAAATGTCAGTAGAGTCGATATTTTATGTAAAAGCAATAAAATATAGTTTTTGGTGAGGAGTTGTCACCAAGGTTGTCAAGATCGGGATCCTACTTAAGATCGTTTTTGGGTTTGCAAGATCGGGATCCTAAGATCCCACAAAATAAAATATAATTTTAATTTATAATTTTTAATCATGAAAAATATTTCAAACATTTAAGTTTTCGTTCAAAAGTTATAAAAACTTCAAAATATCAGTCATAAGCCACAATAATGATAAATGGTAAATTGGTAAAAGGCAAAAGACATAAAGTGGTAAAAAAATTCATTTGCAAAAAAAAAAAAAAAAAAAAAATCAAGGGAAGGTAGGATCGGATCGGATCTCGATCATACGATCCTACCTACGATTTTACGATCCTATCTGCGATCCTACCCCAAATACGATCCTTTTACGATCCGGATCGTTTTTCATACCTAGGATCGTAGGATCGTACGATCCTACGATCAGGATCGCGATTTTGACAACCATGGTTGTCACACACAATCACATTATTTAACTAGAGTGAGTAGGTTATGTACAAATATACTTATAGTATTCATATCGCATAGAAATAGGTTATAGTAGATAAATTGTAATTTAAATATCATTAAAATATTATAGGGACATGTATTCGTAGGTAAAGTTTCAACTGGATGTCAACTCGAAAACCAATACCAATCTTTGCAATGTCATTACGTTTGAAATAGTCTGATCATAGACTTCGTTTCCTCATTCACTAAATCAGTAAATCTCCTATGATCAAAACATAAAAAATAAATACATGTTCTATAAATATTACATCTCCTCATATTTAACCTAAGTCTCAACCAAAAGGTAAAACACTAAAACTTATCTCAACCCCTACACTAAATATAATTGTCTAGTCTCCAAAATATAATTTTCCATTCTCTTTATTTTCGGGTTAGGTAAAATAAATAAATAAATAAATAAAAATCCCAATCGGTTGTATCTAGCACTTTGTATCAATTCAATTTGATTCAATGTTCTCCTTCATGATAAAATTGAAGTTTTTTTAAGGAAAAGGACAAGGAAGAAAGAAGGGCAGAGAGGCCTCATGAACTAGAGAGGAGTGAAGAGAAATGGGACATGTGTTGCGTGTGAGAGAGAGAGAGGGTGGGGTTGGGTGAAATTGGATTATTGGACTCTTCTTAAGTTTGAATATTTAAAAAACTAAAACAAATAAATTAAAAGGATATATCATCATTTTAAGTTTGATACTGAACAAATCTAAAAAAAAAACATACCCATTTTTTCGACGCAAGTTGAAGTTCTTTGGACCGAATCCAAAAAAATAAAAATAAAATAGAACCCAACTTTGTAGGTTTCTCAACCGTAAATAATAATTAAAATAAAAAGTAAAGTAAAAAAATAAAGGCAATTTAGTCAATTTTGTAACGTTAGGAAGTAAAACCAAAATAAAATCTACCCAATAGTCAGAGTTAATATTGAAAAAGAAAATGGGCTTTTATTCAAAAAAAAAAAAAAAAAAAAAAAAAAAAAAAAAAAAAATCACAACATAGACTAAAAATAAGATTTATGTTTTTTTGTTTGAAAAAAAAAAGATTAATTGAAACTTTGAAATATTTCCAAAAGGTTAGTATCATTGAAGAGTATACAAACAAAATTGATTTATATCATTCCATTTTTCTGAATAACAAAAACAAATTCTCCTTGATGGAATAAAAACAGTCTAGTAGAATCGAAATATTAAGGAAATGACATTGTGTGAGAAATGCTTCATTTTATATTTTTGCACATGATTTTTTTTCAAATGGAATAGATTGGCCAATTTTTGGGCCAAGCTGGATTTGAACTATTGTCAACAAATTTACAGTCCGTCCCTATTAACCACTCGGGCATCGACCCAACTCGCAAAACATTGGAGCCTTATAACTTATAAGGTATAAAATGTAATAATTTGAAATTTTATGTTAGTATATTTTTGATAGCTGATACTTGTATTTTTTATTTATAAGTGTTCGACAAAAATAGTTGTACGTTTTTTAAATGTATAAAGTTACATAATATCAAAAGTCAAAAGTTTCTAAAAGCTACGAATTACGAGCTGTTGGTTTTAAATAAATACTAAAAGCTTTTCAACAAACTCTAACACCGCCTAATCTACTCTAAATTTAGACCTTCCTCCAAAGAAGACTTGAATCTTCAATCTGCTGGTTTTATGACACATTTCCAATAACTGCAAATACCGGTAGACCATGGAGCCTTTAGCCTCCATTCTTAGACATCATTAGTGGAATAGTTATCATTAGGTTTAGATATATCTTAAATCAACTCGATGGTAAAAGGATCCGAAACAAATTTAGAGGAAAAAAGAATTAATATTACAAACAAGACGAACATAAATAATCGTAGGGTGCCATCTCTATTACAAATTGCAGGTAAGAAGAACCAAATTTTTAGTTGTCAACATATGGTTGAAAATTAGCTCCGTGATCTCTACATATCATTTATGAGAGAGAGCAAGTGACGTATGTTTACATGTCCACGGGGCCCCACATGTTTTTATCATCAGATTGATGGTCTCCTACGTAAGAACCAAGTTTAGGTCGTGCAGGTTGGTCTTTCGCCATTGGGAAATTCCAAAATAAATCAGAATTCTCAAAGAATATGTAGAACAACACCGCAGATGCCAAAAAAAGTCCTATAAGCAAGATATATAGTTGCCATTCTGCACCACCACAATTCAAAGATTACTGTTAGTTATAACCAACCCAAAACACAGCCAATTCATTACAGGTGTGTGTGTGTGTGTGTGTGTATGTGTGTGTGTGAGCGAGAGAGAGAGAGAGAGAGAGAGACCTTTCCAATCTGCAGGAACGTTTAACTTGGTCACCATAGCTCCCCATTCATTAGAGGTCGAAAGAACAACCCTGCAGAAGGAATTCAATTCCATTCTTAGTACTTTTCTATTAAAAGACAAAAATACCCTCATTGTGTATATTAACATTAACATAAATAAAACTATAAAATTTTAAATATAAGCGAAAATTTAAAAGTTATTCAGTTTTGTTTTATTAAATTTCATTCCATTTTTTGCCAACCAAACACTAGACAGATTCCAATTTCCCTTTATTCCAATTCCAATGGTAGATTCCATTCCTTGAAAAATATTCTGCAAATCAAACAGCACATACCTTTCACTGGGACAGAAATCCAGGGAGGAGACAGGATAGCCCAAGTGAAGCCTCTTACTCCAGTGACAAACTTCCATCTTCTTCACTGATACTACACATACATCACCATCTTTACTTCCCCTGTAATGTAACATTATTGGAGTTAACTTACAATCAGAAACAACCTAATCTAAACCTTCAGATATTTAAATGCTTACAAAAACATATCACTATTTTAACAGCAGAGTTTTCGTAATCATCTTTAATTCATTAAAAATAATTGACAAAAAAAGGCATAACACTTACTGAGCTAAATATTTGCCATCCAAGCTGATGGACATTACACAAGCAGGCTTTCTAAGAAGCCTTTTGAACCCAATTTTGTCCCATGTAGAAATATCCCAGACAACTGTGATTGATTTATTTCCTGCATGTATAATATAGCATCCATATTAGCAAAAAAAAAAAAAAATGGGATCAAAATATCCTTTTATACAAAGGAATAGAAAAAAATACCTTTTTGGACAGTGCAAAACAAAAACGGTTTTGTTCCATCCTTAGAAAATCGACATAGTTCAATTTTCTCATCCTGCAATGAATAAAAAAACAAGACATAATTATGACAAAGAAACTAACAGTACCACATTTTTTGTAATATTAATTAGATCTTACTGAAGTTCGAGTCAAAGAGTTGACTGGAACACCATCATTCGCATTCCAAATCCGAGCGGACCCATCAGTGGATGTTGAAGCTAAGAACTCTGAGTCTAGGCTGAGAGTACAACAATCAGAAAGCCAAATTAAAATTATAGTATATTAATTTTAGTTTTACACTCCTTTTACATATAATTATGAATTATGATGATGAAAGTTAAAAAAATCTACACACCTGAAATCCATATCGTTGAATCCCTGGTGAGCTTTTGGTTGATCTACTATGACACGCATGCTTGGCCACTCGTATATTCTCAGATGCCCATCCTTCAATTAATATATATAAGCCTGTTGTGCAGTTTACACAAGACCAAATTTATAAATTATAACATAACAAAGTTTTTAATATTCTTACCACACCTCCAGCAGCAAATCTAGATCCATCCGTACTAAATGCTAGGCACTTCTGTGGGCCCACATTTTGGAGGGGTTTTAGATCTTTGGCCAACAACTTCAAATTTTTCTCTTGATCATGCAATTCAAACACCCTGCACATAATATAAAAGGCCATCAATATAAGTTATACATACATCTCTAAAGTCAACTCCCCTTCACAAATCCCAAAAGGCATTTCTTATCTGATAAATGTATCTAAAGTAGTAGCTTGCTGGTTCATAAGTAGTTGCAATTTTTCAACAATTCGTTCTAACAGGATGTTTGGTAAGTAACTTGGGTAATTATAAGTTTATTACAATCACTACTCAAAGATCCACAACAACCCTAATGACAAATAATATAGAAATTTTGAATATACATAGAAAACTACAAAACCAGAGAAAAAAGAAAGGACAAAACCAAATATACCCAAGAAGAAGAAAAGAAAAGAATCAAATAGGCAATTTTTGTTGGTGATATTAGTGTCACCGGTCATTTTATGTGATTGGAATTTAATACGAGTGCCAAATGGGAATTTAAATTGTGATCTAATACAAGTTACGTGGTGCAAAAATACACACTTGTATATAATACAAGTTCCTCATGGATTATGCTGTATTAAATTTCATAACCCAGGCATATGCATAGGGGACAAATATCAACAAGGAAAATGACCTTACACAGAGCCGTGAACAATCCAGATTCTTGAGTACCATATTCTATTTTCCTACCCTATTTGACTAAACACAATTCGCTATCACATCATAAAATTAAAGTTACATTGCATTCAATTGTTTTCTTTTTCTTGAACGAGAACTATAATAAATTCTTACTAGAGAAAGACTTTACGCATTTTTGAGTTGAGTAAATCTACCTGCAGCCGCTCTTGGTAGTAGAGCAGATAATATCATCACCGCTTGGATGCACCGCTAGGCTTACTGGATCACATCCGTCTTCAAACTCGAATGTGGCCTGTTATTCCAAACAAAAACAAGAAAACGCACTCAATCAAACAAGTCAACCTATAGGAGTGTCTACTGTAAATTCATACAGAGAGAGAGAGAGAGAGAGAGCGAGGGAAGAGACCGAAGGAGATGACGAGAGAGATGTGGTGAGACGGTCGAAAGTGAAAATTTGAAAAGAGGCAGGGAAATTTCCGTGCTTCGACTTCCCTAAGGCAACTAGATGCGCTTCCTCCGGCCGCCTTATCCATGACGCACAAGTCACCGTTCCTTGCTCCGCTGCGACGCCGCCTTCCATTTTTTTGCAGAATGATGGAGGGTTTTGGGGGAAGTTCAACGAGTTTTGATTACTTTTTTTTTGTTCGTTGTACTTAAGTAGCAGATGAGAATGAAAGGTCAACTGTTTAAACCAGATCATGAACGCGGGTCAACTGTGAGGGTATCGGATCGAACCGAATATCCGGTCCGAATTATACCGCGAGGCGACATTGTGAATGCGTGGGCCGGCGCTTTATCGTTGATAACTACGTAGAAGCGTGGGACCCTCCAATTTCTTTTCTTTTTAATACGCTTAAAATATCGTTAAATATTATTTTTGTGAATTATCTAGAATATAATTGTTTCTTTTTTTTTTCCTTAAGGCTTATAGCTGGTGTCACGTTTTTTTTTTTCCTAATATCACCTCATTTTTACATATACTTTATTGGTGTTTGTGATAATTTTTCAAGGAATTGGAATTGTTAAAGAATTAGAATTTGTCAAGAATTCTAATCCAAATCCATATTCAGTTTGGTTGCCAGGAATGAAATTTGATTCCAATGTTGACAGAAAATTGTATTGAAATAATATAAAATGACAAAAATGTCCTTTTTTTTTTGCTTATTTTTACTTTGTTTTATAACTTATATGTAAAAATATATTATATAAATTATAAAAATAATAAATGATGGTGATGGTTGGAGTGATGTTGACGGAGGCAGTAGTGGTGTTGATGGCGACATAGGTGATGTGGGGTAGTGGCGGAGGCGATGACGATAGTGGCGGTAGTAATTGTGACGGCGATAGTGATGGTGGCGGCGATGAGTAGTGGCGGAGGTGGTGGGTGGTGTAGTAGTGGAGGTAGCAATGGTGGTAGTAACGGTGGTGGTGATGAGGGTGGTGGCGGAGGTGGTGGTGGTGGTGGTGGCGCAGGTGATGACGGTGGTGGTGGCAGTGATGGTATGGTCGTGGTGGTGAGTGGTGGTGGGGGGGGTGGTGGTGGTAGAGGTGGGGACGGTGGTGGAGGTGGCGAGTGATGATGACGGTGGTGGTGGTGGGTAGGTGTGGCGGTGGTGGGTGGTGGTAGCGGGTGGTGACGATGGTGATGTGTAGTGGTGGAGGTGGCGGTGATGAGTGGTGATAGAGCTAACGTTGCTAGTGGGTGGAGGGTGGTAGTAGCGGAGGTACTGGTGGTGATGATAGTGGGTGGCGGTGGAGGTGGTTGTGGTGGTGGTGGTGTGTAGCGGTGGTGGTGGGTGGTGGGTGGTAGATGATGGTGGTGGCGACAGATGGGTTTCATATGTAGTGTTAAGTGTAAAATAGGTAAAATATGTTAACATTTAACATTGTCACTTGAAGAGAATTTTAATTCCTTAACTTTTTAATGAAATTTATTTTCCCTCGTTGGATGGAAAATTTGACTCATTTAGGAATCCAATTTCTTTTGAAAGCTTGAATCAAACAATGGAAAGTGGTCGAATTAGATTTCAATTCCTTCTAATTCCAATGGATTCCAGCGAACCAAACGATACCTAAGAGTAATGTTACTAATGGTTATTGTGGTTTTTCAAAATATAAGTTTAATCCTTAATTTTTTCGGTCTTATATAATATTCATATGGGTTTAAAACTTTTCATAATGGTTTTTATGGCTAACACAATCTATTTTAATCTGTTAAGTCATAACATATGCAAGATATGTGAGGGAAAAATCGTCATTTACAAACAATAGGAACCAATCTTCTTCACCGAACCCATCCTTGGACTAGAAATACCAATATATATATATATATATATATATATATATATATATATATATATATGTGTGTGTGTGTGTGTGTGTGTGTAAAAGATCAAATGAGAACTCCTAAAAGTTAAAAACCCTAAGAACCACTAATTTTAAACTTATTTTCCAATATTTTAATTTTTTAAAAGTTTTTATAAATGATAAAATGGTAAAAAGGCATAATGGTATTTTTTTTTAGAAACTCATTGCATAAGTTTAGATCTATTAGTTTAGATATCGTCCCATTCTCTCACAAATTTTCTAAAACAAAATAATATCCTCTCGTCTACCTCAACCACCTCTGATGAACACCACCACAACCATCACCGTCGATGGCGGCCTCACCATCGTCGATGGCCGGCCCACCACCGTCACTTTCCTTTCCTGTCATATCCTCGTATCACCGGAAATAACACCTACATCTATTGTCGGAATTTCAGATCTGGAACCTCCGATTTCTCGCCTCCACCCTTGTTTCGGTGAATCGTCGTTGCAGATGACGTCAAACCACCACCAACAACATGCCTTTAGTTCCATTTTCTCTCAGACCTCTATGAAAACCGTCAAACCACGACATAAACTTATACTTTTCTCTTTAAACCACCAAAAAATATCAGATCTAGATCTAAATCGTCGGAATATCTCCGATCTAGAGAGAAACCGGTGAAAACGACCACCACACGCCACAATATCTCAGATCTGAAATCATATGTGACATCCCCAACTTCACGGTCATTTTAAAAAATTTATTTATGTTTATTTGAAAATCAAAGTATTCATTTTAAAAGATAATATTGCGGAATTTGTTCCCAGAAAACATGATAAATATATCATCAAAGCATTTCCGAAGAAATGTATTTTTGTTTCTATTAAAACTTTGGGATGTCATCATCAATACAGAAAGCATAAACAGACATTACATTCATTTACACTAGTGATTTACATCTCCTTTAATCTCTCAGTGTAATGTAGCTTCGTATCGACACCTGTGATACAAATAAACTGAGTGGTCAGGTTGGAAAACCTGGTGAATACATAGGGTTTTCAACCCACAATAAAGTTATTAAGTTTCAACATCAAACAATTATCTTAATTACTCATCCCCATTATCTTCTTTATTCCTTAAGGATCTACCATAAGAATCATCTATCATTCACTCTGTAACATCCCAATTTTCACGACCAAAAATTTCATTTTTAATTAAGTAGTTTATAAAATTGTTTACTGAAAAACATCATCGAATCATATCAATTCATAAAACCATAGTCATATGTCTCAACCATATCATCAAAATAATACAAATGTCAGAGTACAATCCCATGGATCACAAAATGCGGAAATCATATGTGTATGATGCGCTGCTACCGTGCCGGCTCCTTCCCCTTCGTTGAAGAGGTACCTGAAACAAAACTGAAGACTGTAAGCACGAAGCTTAGTGAGTTCCCCCATCATACCACATACCATAACATATACTGCCTATTCCTCGGTATCTTTCAACCGGTATCTGACTGGCATAATCGGAAGCTGGACTTCCCTTCGGTATCTTTCAACCGGTAGTCGGGAGTTAACCTCCCCTTCAGTATCTTTCAATCGGTAACAGAGAGTTGACCTACCCTTGGGTATCTTCCAACCGGTAACAGAGAGCTGACCTCCCCTTCAATATCTTTCAACCGGTAACTGGGGACTATTTCACCCCTACCACTACCATACAATAACATATCATGAACATACTACTAGGCATGCATGGGTTCTGACGACCTCTTCGGTATCTTTCAACCGGTAACCGGGGACTATTCCCCCTACTACCACTATCACATAACATCATATCATGCTAACACATAAAACATATCAGGTAGTAGCAAACCAAGATAATTATCACAAAGACAATCATCTATCAACCAACTCCTACTAGTGGACCGGAATTGTGGTCGTAGACCCACTTCTACTGGAAGGTAACTCACCTCAATGTCGTGCCGAAACTGAACTGTCCTCGATGCTGGGATCAACTCCTCTCAAACTCCTACACATGACATTCTTCCTTAATTACTATCTCGTACTTTTGACCCTTCGAGGGTCAACTTAGGTCAAAGTCCAAGTCAAGGTCAACACCTTGGTAAAAGTCAACATCTGGTTGACTCAACTCGCTGAGTTGGTCCACCAACTCGTCGAGTTCCATAATCCACTTACCTTCTGCAACTTCGCTCCTACTCGTCGAGCCTTTCAAGAACTCGTCGAGTTCCCTTCATACAGAATCGAGACCTTTTGCCTACGACTCGCTGAGTTCATCCTTGAACTCGTCGAGTCCTTCTTCATGTAGGTTGGAATGTTAGTCCTTGACTCGCCGAGTCTTTCCTTGACTCGTCGAGTTCTTATTCATATACCTTGGGACATTGCCTTGAACTCGTCGAGTTCATCCTTGAACTCGTCGAGTCCTTAGATCTTCAAGTCCATATTCAAGTCCATCTTGTTGAGTCTTCTTCTATACTCAACCAGATCGATTAGAACATAAAAGGTTGGGAACCATAACCCGACTCGATGAGTCCTATGAGCGACTCGCCGAGTCCCCCAAGGTCCAAGTCTACCAAGTCGATTTCCATCGGGCTTAATGCATCCAGAACATAGATATGGCCTCCTAGGGTCCATATTACACGTAAAGTTACAAAATTTACGTGCATGCAAGGCATCATGAGCCAAAAACACCATTTCCAAGTCTAAAATGAAGTCTACAAGATGCATGGGACTCCCATGGCCATAAAGTTGGCACCTTTATGCCATGGGAACCCTTAAAGGTTCAAGATCTGAAGTACAACTCCATGGATACTTACAATCCCGAATATGGCTTCATTAAGACCTAGAAAAGGTAGAAAATAGCCCTAAATGGAGATCTAAGAAATGAATAGTCAAGGTATCAGCTTTATACCTCAAATGAGTTGGGAATGTGCCAAAACCTCTGAATCTTCTTGCTTTCTCTTGATCTCCCAAGCTTCCTTCTTCTTCTCAAGCTTCAAATACACACAGATGGCACAAAAAGGTCAAGCACACTCAATATTCGATTAGGGTTTCGTGAAGAGAGTCTGAGGGTGATGGAGGCTGAAGTGGAGACCCTATAAGTTGTTTAAATAGGGTGCAAACCCTAAATTTTAGGGTTTCATCCAAACAAGCCTACTCGTCGAGTCGGGGCTTCTGACTCGGCGAGTAGACTTTTCCACCCGCGTCCAATCCCTCGCACCTACTCGACGAGTTGGGCCTCCAACTCGTCGAGTCCCTGTGTAAAATGAAAAAACTTGTAATAAAAATACGTACCGGGAACCGGTAGTTA